ATTGTAATTTACATGAGGCATATCCTTTGGGGAAAGACCATTTATACTAAGGCAAAGCACAGATGAATTAAAGCTATATGAGTGGTCATGCTGTTCTACCACAGGCCCCTCTGCTCGAAGGTTCTTGGTGCCTCCAGTGCTAGAGGTTAATCTGGATTGCTGCTCAGAGAAGAGAAAAATACAATGCTTTTCATGAGGCTCTCTGGAGAAAGCTAAGCCTTCTCTAACCTGGGAGGACACATCTTCATAGAAAAGGCCCTTATTTGATCTGTTGGGAGTTGAATGTGACATTATACAACATACTATGCTATATTTAAGTCAAGGGGACTGTTGGAAGGCACTGTCAAAACAGGAGGTATAAGGGATGCAGGAGCTTTTATTATTCATCACAGATTGACAGCCTGATGTATAAAGACCAGGACGGTGGAATGTTCAAGTCACAAACTTCATCTTCCTATTCCCCTCAAACAGTGTGAAATAGTTAGCTCTGCTGCTATAACAAACAACCCTCCTGACTCTCAGTTATAACTACAAAGGTGTTTTTTTTCTGTGATCTAAAATGAAGAAGACATTGCATTATAACTGGCCTCATGTCATCTTCATTCCAGATCGAAGCTGAAAGAGCAGTCCATTTTTGGACACAAAATTCTTCTGGCAAAGAGGAAATAACGAGTGCTAATGGAAACATACAATGGCTCTGTCTTAGTTTTGGCTGCTATAACAAAAATATCCTAGATTGGATGGCTTAAACCACAAACATTACTTTCTCCCAGTTCTGGAGGCTGGGAAGTCCAAGATCAAGGTACCTGCAGATTAAGAGAGGTACAAAAATGAATAGGACAAGATCCCATATCTCAACATAGTCCCATCTAGTTGAGACTAGATGGAGCGGGTCTGCTTGCTGGTTTGTAGACAGCCTCTCCTCACTGTATCATCACATGTCTGAGAGAGAGATCATCTCTCTCGTGCCACTTTGTATATAAGGGCATTAATCCCATTCATTAGGGGTCCACCCCCATGATCTATTTACCTGCTAAAGGCCCTACTTCCAATTACCATCACATTGGCGTGGCATTAGGGCTTCAACATATGAATTTTGGATGGAAACATTCAGTCCATATAACAGGCTCATAAAGCTTTTGCTCAGATGGAGCATAATCGAGGTTACCCACATTCCATTGGCCAAAGTGCTCATATGCCCATGCCTGACATCAAGGGTGGAGAAATCACATGATCCCCCACAGGAGGCACAGCAAGTTGTATAATCCTCCGTCAGAAGGGGTGAGAGTTGCTAGGAATGAGACGATTATTCCCTTAGCTCAAGGAGGGCACCTGGAGTGTTCCATGGGAAAAGACCGCACAGAAAATGAGGTTGCAGCAGCTGTTGTTTCTACTCTTCCCTATTTTGTTTTCATCAGCCTCTGGGGGCAGAAGGCAGAGTGGGTTGGGAAGGAGATGAGGTGGAAGACAAGTGAGAATACTGAGACGTTTCTCATTAACAGAACTGGTCACACAGGTAGTGCCTGGGGCAAGAGAAAGAGAGACCTTTCTGTGCATCCCAGAGGGGGTGCCTGGAAGAATGTAATGATGCCCACTCCTCCCAACCATCATCCTCTTCAACTAATATTTACTGAGCACCCAGTGGCCTGGGACTCAGAACCACAAACTCACTTGTGGTTCTGACTCATTTGCACATTAAAAAGCACACAGACAGTGGAAACCCACCTTTTCCCCTTCCCAGTCACCCTGGGAGAGAACTCAGCCTTCTTCATTCAAGTGTGGAATCCAATTAAACATCGTAAACAAAGGAAACTTCTTTCACTGTAATTTTCCTCCTTCTTCCCTTGCTTTCTTTGCAATTGGATTTATTGCTCAAGAATTGCCTCCCTTAAGCATCAGCCCCCATTACCCAGAGAGATAAAAGCCATAAAGGGAAGGGAACTCCTTCAGTTCTCTGCCAGTTTTGAGACAGAGTTGTGCCTTCCCCAAGGGGAGTTGACAGCTGTTGCCTGAGACTGCCTGTCCTGCACCAAGGCTGGGCTCATGCTCAGAATGCAAACCGCAGCCGTCAGAGACAGAGCCGAGGTTGATAACGGCTGGAGCCCAGAGCAAATCTGCTTGGGCACGAAAAAAGAAATTGTGTAGTTTTAAAGCAGATGTATGTTCTTAATGTGTTTGGCTTGTAAAGCAACAAACTGTGGGTATTTTTCCTCCTCAGTCTACCACAACAGTTAAAGTAAACAGTGTAACTTAAGACAGGGCAATTCTATCAATTTCATGTAATAATATTTAGTCTGTATAACTGGATGAAACTTAAATTAGCATCCTATATAGAAGGCATTTCATTTCCACACGTACGGTATAATATTAGGAGCAAACAACATATGTCTCCATGGTTATAAACAAAGGTGTCATGTTTGCAAAACAGATCCTATATGTAGAACATCTAGAACTGGGATAAAATATGGGGTTTTTGTTGGTGGAAATGGTGTTAAGTATTTCAATCTGCATGATATTTATAAGAAACATTTTCTCCGTCTCTGTGAATACCAATAAGCATTGTCTTTACCTTTTTCCAAACCTGGAATTTGGTCTTCTATCAGAGCTTTGGCATACTAATAGTATTCATTGTGATTCTGCAAAAGGGAGATAGAGTATGCAGTTTCTCTAAATTTTTAACCAGAAAACTTCTTCTGGCAGATCATTTCTTAGAATCAGTCAAAATATAGACTTAAAGACCTTCAACTTATAAACTGCCTGCTTATTCTGCCCAATTTTCCAATTTCTCCAATCTACGGTATGTCAGGAAAAGAAGTACCTTGGCTTTCTAATTCATTCATAAGGTGAAAGTCAATTTGGTCTTTGTTCTTTTTTCCTCTTCAATTTACTTTGAAAATTTTCAAACCCACACAAAGTTGAAAGAATAGTGTAAAAAGCATATATTCTTCACTTAGATTCAACAATTGTTAACATTTTGCTTCAATTTTCTCTCTCGGTCCCCAAACACATATACAGGTACCACAGGCCCTGAGAAACATATGAGCCCCAGAGCACTTCCCTGGCCAAACCCAGGCCACAGGCCCCTCACGGGCAGCATCCTCACCTCTCCAGCAGAATCTGAATCATGGATTCCAAATAATTAATCACCAAGTGAATCAGAAAACAGCTTTCAGTGGAGCCTACTTTTAGTGGAAAGATAAAGGACCCTCTGTTCCTGAGAAAGAATAGACTGACTCATCTTCGTCAAATTTTCCAGTGTAAGGAGTGCTCTGAGTGTTACGCAAGGGAAGACTGTTTTCAGTGCAATGAGCCTGGTGTCCCAGGACCCGGCTGAATGTCAGAGGTCATAGAGCATATCCAAAAGATGTACAATCTTTGGGACTTCATTTTGTTTCTTCTGTGGGAGGGTCCCTATTCCCTGGGGAGCCTAGAAGCAGCTCCTCCAGCCCTAGACGAATACGCAGTCTGTGTTCCTGGTGGGGAGGGGCAGGCAGGACAGGCAGTAACTGACGCCCTGCCAGGGAATAAGTATTCAGGGGGTGCTTGTGGTGTCTGAAATCTTTGTTACTTCAGGTTTGTAAAACTTTAGTGTCACTCTAAGGCCGTGGGGAAGGTCCTCCCAGCTGTCAGAGCACCTCCACAGGGATAAGGGCCCGGTGGGAAAAGCCCAGGTTTTAGAAGCCAGAAAACTTGTGTTCAAATGCTATCCCTGAAATGTACAAGGCATAAGGCCTATGCAACTTAGTAATACCAGTTCCCTCATCTGTAAAATATAGATTAAAAATACCTCACAGAGCTGTTGAGAAAACCATGTTAAATGAGGTAACGCATGTGCATTGCTTTATTAGTTAGGATTCCTTTCATTCCAGGTAACAGAAACCCACCTGAGCTAATTTAAGAAAAAAATGTGAGAGAGATTGAGACAGAGAGAGATTTAATTATAAGGTTACACTGATATCCCATCATTCTTAAAATCAAGAATTCAGCTAAGCCTTCTAATGAGGCTGGAACCAAGAAACAAAATGTCATCAGGAGCCATTGTAGCCTCGCTTTGTATGTCTGTATTGTTTTTTTCCTCTTTTTGTGAGGACTGGCTTTATCTCTTCCAAGCCAACAGAGCTGACAGAATGTGACTGCCCATGGGTTTATGTCTTCCCTTTCCAAGACCTCAGTAAGGAGGGAACAGAATCCCATACTCCCTATCCATTGTCTCAGCTGCTGCAGAAGTTCACTGTGGCAGGAGTGGGTGTTGGCTGGGTACAGGGGGAGGGAGCTGTGAGCTCAGACAATGTAACTGGGCTGAAGGGGCTCTGCCTGTGGTGAGCAGTGGAGCTGAGGAGAGCCTTATGGGCTGGGTGAACCTTCTAAAATGTGTTTTCTACAGTACCTTGCCCAGTCTCTTTCACTTAACAAGGGTGTTATTTTTCTTTTTCTTTCCTCTCATTCCAGATATGATGAACCTAGGAGAAGAATTGGGGATGATTGCTCAGATTATTCTGGGGCCTGTAGGGCCCTGTCATAACTGAAATGGAAGTCATTAGGATGGACATGGTATCCTTGTTTCTGATGCCTTGATGGCAGGAACAATCCTTCTATGCAGCAAAATATTCTCTATGGAAGCAGCTGGGTTAGGAGGTGATGGTTGGGGCCAATGGTTGAATAGCATACTTAATAGAACAGAATTTCTATAAAACTTAGCTGGAATTTTCCTACCACTGCAGACCACATTTTTCCAAGTGCAGCAATTGTACATAAAGCCAATATTCATTCATTCTTATTCTCTCTCTCTCTCTCTCTCTCTCTCTCTCTCTCTCTCTCTCTCTCTCTCTCTCTCTCTCTCTCTCTCTCTCTCTCTCTCTCTCTCTCTCTCTCTCTCTCTCTCTCTCTCTCTCTCTCTCTCTCTCTCTCTCTCTCTCTCTCGATGTTTGCCGAGCTAAGCATTGTGCTATTGACAGAGATACAAAGAAAAGCACCAAAGATGTTTTATATTTCACCTTTTTCTCCTGGGAAAGATGACCTAGAGACTACATGCTGCCCAAGGTAGGAGTCTCTCATGAGAAGCCTCCAGACCGTGGTCAGGGAGGGACCTCTGAAGAAGCCCAGGCCTTTCAACCTAGAGAGAACAAAAATAAGAGAGTTCTAAAGTAAGAAATGTTTCTTCTAATAGTTTCTAACAAATATTTTTCATCAGAGTATAAAAACCTTTCCCAGTAATTCTATTTCCTGCCCACCCCAAACACAATTTGCAAAATTGTAATGAAAAGAACATATTTCTCTAAATTCTCTACTGAGATTAAAGTACTCATAGGAGCTCAGACCAAACATAAGCTCTTACCTTAAGAAACAACAATGCACATGTGGTCACTTAAGCAGGATTTTTTTTACATCACCACTGAAAACAAATTATGTCTGGGTGATAAAATATATTAGATGAGTTTGGGGGTTATCCCAGATTTTAGTAACTTAGTTTTGAGGCAGCATTTTATCTTCATCTATTGGCATTTGTCCTTACCTAAGTTTCTCAACCAATTGAAAGCCCCTGAATCACTGGGAAATGTTTAATGGGTAATAAGAATCACTTGAGTGTCAAGTCCTATTTGACTAAATAGCCCAGCCATGTCTTTGCTATTGATATAAATGCTTTCATATTACATTTGCGTCATTTATATCCATTGTTTTTTTTTTAAAAGTATTTCAACAGTACAAAAATAATGTGGCAGGATGGCAACCCTGGAGTATTATAAATATCATAGAAGTCATAACTATAATGATAATATTGGAATTTATCTTCAGAAGATAAAGGTTGAACTTATCAAGAGGCCACAAGTGAGCAATAAAGACTTCCTATTGAATGCATATACATTTCAGATTTTCAATAATTTTGTTAAACACTCTAAAGTTCCTTATTCTTAATGCTATCCCTTAGTTTTAAAATTGCTCACTGCTTTTATAGTTGCTGCTCTCTGCTGCTTTTCCATATCCAATCATCTCTAGTAAAACACTAGTAAGGTGTCAAATAGTCTCTTTGTTCTGTTTCCACTTCTCCCCTTCTCAATTCCTTTCCCATCTCCCTTCTCCCCACCATCTACACCAAAGACATAAACAAAGAAAATAAAATGCAAACAAGAATTAGATATTTAATAACAGGAGAGAGGTCTGTGCCGAGCCCATTGCCCCTTTTCTCTGCCTTAACATCCTTACTCATCCCTAGTCTACATGGGCTACCATCGAAAGGAACACAGACTGGCTGGCTTTAGCAACAGATGTTTATTTTCCCACAATTTTGGATGCGAGATCTGAGATCAAAATGTCCAAAGAGTTGTGTTTTTCTGAGGCCACCCTCCTGGGCTTGTGGGTGACCACCTTCTCCCTGTGTCTTCCCATGGTCTCCCCTCTGAGTGTCTGTGTCCTAATCGCCTCTTCTTAGCAGGACACTAGTCATATTGGATTAGGACCATGCTAATGACCTCATTATGACTTAACTATTTCTTTAAAGGCCCTATCTCCAAATACAGTTACATTATGAGGTTGTGGGGGTTACAACTTCAACAGAGGAATTTGGGGGAAGGAACACAATTCAACCCATGGCAGTCACACTCACCTACCTTACTAAAATACCACATCTCTGCCACACCAGCCTATCCTGGTGTTGACTGTCCACAGCCTTGGTGATCTCTGTCAATTTTTTAGTGGCTAATTAAATGAAATTGAGTACTTATCCCCACTATCTTGAGTGGTTTTAGATGAAAGTAATTTCTTTCTCCACAAGATCCACGCATACAGGGATAGTTTTTAGTCTCTTTTGATGCCTAGACATAGTCAGTACATAAATAGATAGCCTTACAATAAAACAAACAAAAAATAAACAAACCTCAAATGAATTGAAGAAGAAAATGTCATTCTTTCCATTGCTGTATGTGTACATTTTATCTCTTTGAGAATAGAAGCACCTTAGAGGCAAGATTATGCCCTCTTGGACAAATCAAAATTGTTTGTCTATCCAATGTGATTTTTAAGTATTGTGATGTGAAAATTTCGTACACAGGTTAATTCCGATATTTTTTGCATTTGACTGAGGTAATTTTGTTTACAGGAGCTTAGTAAACGTTGAATAATGATCACTAAAAGTTGTAGTAGTAACAGCGACCCTTCTTTGTAGAATAACTATAGAACACTGCAGCACAGGTGCTGAACATATATCTTGAAAATAGCTACCAGCAGAGGTATCGTCTACACTTTGTTTTCAGACTGATTTTTCCATTTATAGAGCTACCTCATCTGCCCTTCTCAACTTTACAAACATGGTGGGTTCATTTTTTGCATGATTTTGGAAATTATTTGGTTCTCCATGTCTCCATAACTACATCAGGCTCTTCAGAGCTCACTCTGCTCATGCCTGAAGATGTGCCAAAAAAAAGTCTATTCAGTTATATCCTCTTGTTCATTTGAAAAATGCAGTCTCAAACAAGAGATGAACTGTATATTGTTTTCCTGACTCTTCAGGGATGTAAGCAAATGTCTATCTTATTGAAAAAAAAATCATAATTCCTTAGCATAAGAAATAAAAGCCAGATTGAGAAAATTCCAGAATGGCCAAAGTAATGGTTTATGTTATCATTCAAGACATCTCCAAGAAGAAATAGCCCTTGTTATCATGTAGTTGGTTATAAAGAGGGAAAAGACAAAAAATTCTGATTTAATGCTTTCTGAGTTGTTCATTCTTCAATACCCAGGATAATAATGAGAAGGACAGTGGTAATTCTCAAAAGGAATTAGACATTTGTGCCTATGAGATGATACCTATGCTGAGGGAGGCCGGAATTGCATCAGGCAGGGGAGAGACTTTGCCCAGGAATGCTGTTAAACACCTCCCATTTATTACCGTGGGCTACATGCTTTGCTTATATTACCTCATTTAATCCTCACAACAATGTACTTAAAGAGGTGGGTGTTATTCTCACTATTTTACAGATGAGGAAACTGGGGGGTGGGGTGGGGTCCAAGAGTTTATGTAACTGTCCCAAAGTCATAGAGCATGAGTAGGGGAGAGAGGGGTGCCAATATGTCCACTTCTAGGGACTGTCAGATCCAAGGCATGAACCTTGGGTGGGACAAGTGTTTGCCAAGTGACGGGCTGAGTTGTTTTTTTATCTTCTGTGATGCATTTCCGTAGTCTAACTCCTTCAAAAGCAGTCCCTGGTCTCAGTTTCCATCTTCTGAGAGGAAGTAGACCTGCCAGAATGACCCACGAGTTTCTATATTGGATTAAATAAGAGAGTCTCCCAACTTTTTATGTAGGAAATAATTATTTTATATTTTGGTATGAGAAAAATTCTCCCCTCAAAATATATAGGCAGGAGCACCATTCGCAGCTGAAAACACTTAGGAGGGGTGGCTTCTCTTTCAGACTGTTAAACCCTTTCCTGGCATCTTCGTTCCAGAGAATATTGTTCTTCTGTAAAGTTCTTTCAGGCTCCTCGCTGAGCCTGAGTCTCCTGTGACTGTGGCAGCCACAGTCCTCCTGGACACGTAGGGACAGGACCTTACCTTTGCTGTCCCACACAGCCCATTTAGAGTAGCTGGGCAATGAGCAGAGTTGCTCTGTCTGGGAAAAATGCCTGGCAAGGTTCAAGCTCTCACACGTGGTTTCCAGGGAGATTTCAGCCAGGCCTAGCAGTCCCACCAGTTGTCAGAACCTCTTCTGGATTCCTACCTTCAGCAAAAATCCTTTAGGATAGCCAGTGCAGCAGGAAACCTGTCACTAACAGCCACCATGGTACCACATCAGCGATTCTCAGGGGTGTGGGCTCCATTGGTTCACTAGGCTATCTGCCTCACCCGGGAGAGCTTTGTTTGATTGTCAGAAAATAGAACATGCACATTTGTCTGTCATAAACACACATGAGCACTCCAGAGCACAAGTAAACAAAAACGGTTGTGGAAGTTGGTAAATGTGTTTGCATTTTTTAACCAAACCAGATGAAGCATGTGAATAACCCTGCAGATCAAGTACCACAGAGTACCTTACTTGTAATCTGCCTCTACAATACAGCCATTGCCACTCATTCCACTCACCCAATTCAGACCCTGGAATGTACTATTTTTAGACCGGCTTTGTACACTACTAGTTAGCAAACGGGCTGTTAAATCCTTTGAGTAGTAGCCAAAAAGTTGGGTGAGAACGCAGAAACCTGCCACACAGATCAGCATCCTAATCAACCCTGGGGCAGCCAGCACTAAAGATCCGCCTTTGTTTCCTTTTCTGCTTTCCCTTCGCCTCACCAGGAATATCAATGTAAAAAGGCAAGGGGACAAAGACCTGGCCTTATCTGTGCTTGTCTTGTCGTTCAAATGGGTTGGTTTACCCCCTCTCCTAGATAGCAGTGCATTTGTCAACATCTTTGGCGGTTTAAGCTGTTCTTTGTCAAAACCACTTTTGGAAAAGATTTGGCCATTTATTTACTTGGGAGCCAGCCTGACGGCAGCAGGTGCGTCATGGAAAACTCAGACGTGGGTGCCTCACAAGCACTGGACTCAGCGACGGGAGGGCCCGCTGCTCCCGGCCAATCGGCCACACGGGAAGGAGGGGAGAGAGGAAAATAGTAGGCAACGTGTTGGCGTGAGGCAGGTGGTGGATGAGGCGGTGGCACAGAGAAAGAATTGCAACACCAGGGAGCGATGAAGGGCTTCCTATGATTTCGCAGCCAACAAAAAACCTGAAGGCACTGAGTTTGGCTCTGTTTCTACAGCTTGAGAAAAGCCGAGAACAGAAGCAATGACGGGGCTAATTCTGAACTAACTTTTTAAAGTGATTTTTGATAAAAATCCAGATCTTTGCCTCAGTTCTTAGCTTCTGTGTAAACTGCTCATTTCCCAATATTCTTTAATTTTTCAGGTGACTTGATTTGCATTTGGTGCAGTGGGCGGGATCATTTGAGCCATCCCTAGTGGCCTAAAATGGGAAGAGTTGGTCCCTGTTTTCTTTTGCCCACCTTCCTCAGGGGGCCATTTTGTTCCTTCACTTGGCCTGGGTTGGCTGGTGAAAGCGTGCAGCCAGCCTGAGGCTGGGCAGTGATATCCTGTGTTGCACCTGGGATGTCCTCATACTCTCCATGACAGCATTCCTGTCCTTTTACAGAACTAATCAGAGGAGAAATAGAAACAGGTTTTGAATACTTTCAGTCAAAAGTGGTCTCTAAATTTAAGGCGGTTTATTATTTTATTTATTATTTCAAGTCCAGTAAGGTCTTTATTATGATATTAGAGGTATGTGGTGGAAAAGTAGTGTGCCAGGATAATGACTAACCATAACAACAACAACTTATTTCTGAGCCCATATGTGCCAGGCACCGACCTAGACACTATCTCTACCTTTACCAGCAGCTCTGCAAGTGTCACTTTCCCTGTTGCGGGGAGTGCTGAGCATTGACGGGTACTTGGCCAAGGTCATCGGCCAATCAATGGCAGATCTGAAATGCCAACCTAGGATTGTTCTCTTTCTACTGCACTAGGCAACACCATGTGCAAATATGAACTCATCCCAAGAATCCAAACACAATTGGCTTTACTTTGATGAACCTCCATTTCGTATTGGGTCCAGTTATTTTAACAGACTCAGCATGTTTACTTACCTCGGGATTCTTACAGAAGAGTAATGGGATTGTTACCTGGGGTTTCAACTGATAGAATTAGCTAATCAGAGTTAGCTTGTCTGCTGCTACTTTTAATTCTTTAATGTTTTCAAGTATTCTATTTGACCTGATGCTTTTCGTGGATGTGGCATAGAGAATGCGGTCTATAGTAACAGTGCATAAGAATATCCTGGCTTCTTTTATAGATGCATAAATAAATCAGGAGAGAAAATTTCCCCAACCCTGAGCATATAGGCAGCACCACCATCTGGCAGGTTCGCATGCACACACAGTTTGACGGAAACCAATCGTTGGACAAAGCCTGAGCAAGAAGAGTTGGTGCTAAATAGGAAAGGGAGCTAACTGCAGGAAGAGCTGCAAAGAAAACAGGAAGCAGGTATTGGTGAAATTTGCCTGTATAATAGTAACACTGTCATAATGAATATTTGCTCAATAGATTATTCTCACTTTTCTCCTACATGTCCATTTATTCGTTGGCCACCATCACCCAATAAGGGTAATGGGGGGAAGTAAGAAGTATAGGTCTTTACAGATTCTAGAAAGTAAAAACTGTCCAAACCAAAGCTTTTGGCCTTGATGTAGATGGTAGATATCTCTATACTAGTTATTACCTGGGCTTTTTCTTTTGCTTCCATCACCATGTTCCATTTCTGTTTCATCTGAAAAGAAAATAAAATAGAATTACCTCCTACACTCATACTGCTATTGACATCAAATTGCATCTTCTTTTATTATGATCAACAAAGTTACTCATAACATTGGAATTTGTTTTTTGCTTTTAAAGTTAAAACCACGGCTGTTGTTGGAATAATTAGTATTGCTTTGGCACTGTGTTCCACCTAAACTCATGACGTTTGTGTACTGTTTACCTTTCAGAAAAGCTATTTTCCAAGAAGGGAAATAAAATGGGAGTACAGACTTCCAACAGCACTTTTTTTTTCTGCTCTGTCCTTGGCTCTGAAAGAAGATGCATGAACAGAATTTCAGGCTGTAATTAATGCAGCTCTTCATAAGATAAGAGGTTCCTTTATCTATAGAAAAATTGCTGCACTAATTCTCAGCGAGAATCAGAAGGCTCCAGTTAATGCTCTTTCTACAGGAGGAATTCACATTTCCTACTCTCTACACATTTACAGTCAAATTTTAGTATTTTCTTATGGGAAAGAGGAGATGGGTGAACATGAAATGATAATAATATTTTATAGGGCTGAATCTATAAAACGTAAATATTATGTTTACATACATATTAAATGGGGTTACATAAAGAACTTCCAAATAATATTGACTCTATAGAAATGTACATGTAAGCACAGACCTTAATTGGACACAGCTTATATCCAGCCCTTTTTTGGAGGGGGCGGGGGGAGGATGGAAAACAAATTGGGAAATGCAGCTCATTTGATGTAGTGAGGAAAAAGAGCTCTAGGTTTCTGTAATGTCATAAAGTACTGTCCAAATGAGAAAGAAACCTCTGCTGTTTCTTTCTTGATTTAAATATCTCCTTGTAGAACACACATTGCAATTCAGAAACAGTACTTTATGTTTTATGTGTGGGCTTGCAATAATTGGTAATGTGTTGGCACTGTATTCCACCTAAACGTGTGGCATTTGTATACTATTTAACTTTTAAAAAACACACACACAATGATTTTCCAAGAAGAAAAGAATGGGAGTACAGCGAATGACTGGAAGCTAGAGGCCACAAGATTCTTCCCTGAGGTCTTGCCACAGAAGACCCCGCAGTAGGCAGTCAGTCCCCTGTGGCACTGCTGATTCATCGGCCCTTTCTATGGCCCTTATTTTCTGCATCGCACAAAATCAGATAACCATTCTCTTCCTTCCCTTGTGACACCCTGTGAGGTGGGTGTGAAAGGGGGTACATAGGTTTGCCATTGGGCCAAAGGCTAAGTAAGATGCTTGGTCAAAGCAGGAAATGAGGGAGTTGGACTAAGAAATGTGCATCGTTTCTAGATATGATCTCAGCAAGTAAAAATGAGTGGGAAGTTTCAGCAACAAGGTTACTGTTATTTAGATTATAGCGTCAATTTTTATTTAAGTGAAAAGATGTTTGTAACACTTGAAAGCAATGGAAGACTAGACTACTGCAGAGTAGCAGTATAGCTTCTGCATCTGTCCAGCGCAGCCTCACTTTCCTTTCGCTTGTCCATGCTCTTGTGCACTGAAAGGGTTCTTGCTTACGTGTTCACAAATGACAAGACTTTAAGCTCAGAACCTCTTCAGAGTGAGAAACTTTTCTTGGCAGGCAGTCAACTGATGCTGAGAGAACAAATCCGACAGAGCCTATTTTCTTCATGTTTCTGTTCCTATTGTTCACCGTCACATAGGAGGGCTGCTGGGTAGGATAAGAGGACCCGCTAAGGAGATGAAGGTGAATTATTCTGGACTAGCTTCCAAGCAATCCTAAGCTTCAGTGAACCTGGTATCACTCTTCCTCTGGTCCCCAGTTTTCCTTTTGTATCCTTAAAATAGCACTGATGTTGAATTGGGTCAGTGGGGAAAAAAAACCGGTCACCAATTATTGCTAACAATTTTATCTCCCAAGAAAACATTTGGTAAATATCCCTTATCTTGAGTACACACCATAGAAGGTTGTTAGGGTGGTATTCATCTTAGGATAAGATGTTTATTTTAAACTTGAATTTCCACAATTGGAAAATTCACCTAATGTGCTATGCTTCCCAGAAAGAGATTTAAATCAAGATACAGTAGTCTCCCCCTTATCTGCAGGGGGTTACATTCCAAGACCCCCAGTGGATGCCTGAAACCAAAGATAGTGCCAAACCCTATATAAGCTATGTTTGTTCTTATACACACAAACCTACAATAAACTCTAATTTATAAATTATGCATATTAAGAGATTAACAACAGTAACAATAAAATAGAAAAAGTATAACAAAATATTGTAATAAAACTTATGTGAACATTGTCTCTCAAAAATCTTATTGTCATGTACTCATCCTTTTCTTGTGATGATGGGAGATAATAAAATGCCAACGTGATGAGATGAAGTGAGCTGAGTGATGTGGGCCTTGTTAGGCACTTGACCTCTGATGATGCTCCAGGAGGATCCTCTGCTTCTGCTGACCCTGGCTCCCTGAGCGATGCATGACAACGTCGATGCCTGGAGGTCAGGAGCAGATGATTTTGATAGTTGGGGATCCTTGACAGTTGAAGGGTTTTTGTTTGCTATTTATTTGTTTGTTTGATTTTTGCCAAAATGTTTTGGAAAAACATTCTAATCAGAAGTTGCTGTCTCTTTCTTTTTAACTCATCAAAGTGTTACTGCAGAGGTTGTGATCCAGTGATCAAACGGGTGACTTTAATGTTGCATTCCATCCCAGGATTGTGTTCCATAATTTCTGGGTCACTTGAACACAAGCAGTGCGATACCTCGACAGTTAATCTGATAACTAAGTGACTCACAGAAGGGGAATGTGTACAGCTTGGACACACTGCTGGACAAAGGGATGATTCATGTTCGGGCAGGATGGAGTGGGACAGTGTGAAATTTCATCATGCTACTCAGAACGTCACATAATTTAAAACTTATGAATTGTTTATTCCTAGAATCTTCCATGTAATCTTTCTGGACCATGGATGACAATGGGTAACTGAATGTGCAGAAGCTGAAACCATGGATGGGTGTGTGTGTGTGTGTGGGGGGGGGGACTACTGTAAGTAGATGCATGCCCAATAGAAGTCATTGCAATATATACCAGAGGACATGTTAAAAAATGTTCAAAGTATAGCTATTCAAAGTAGACTAAACTATCTGGAAATAGCCTAAATGACCATTTACAGGAAAATAAAATGTGGCATAGTCACATGTGAAATACTAGAGGCCCAGTGCACAAAATTTGTGCACTCAGGGGGGTCCCTCAGCCCGGCCTGTGCCCTCTTGCAGTACAGGAGCCCTCGGGGGATGTCCGACTGATGACTTAGGCCAGCTCCCCATAGTCGGACATCCTTAGCACTGCCATGGAGGAGGGAGAGGTTCCCCCAACCGCTGTGCTTGCCAGCCGTGAGCCCAGCTTCTGTCTGAGCAGCACTCCCCCTGTGGGAGCACACTGACCACCAGGGGCAGCTCCTGTGTTGAGTGTCTGCCCCCTGGTGGTCAGTGCGTGTCATAGCAACAGGTTGTTCCGCCATCGGGCCGAAACCAGCTCTCCAACATCCCCCTAGGGGTCCCAGATTGCAAGAGCGCACAGGCCAGGCTGAGGGACCCCACCAGTGCACAAGCAGTGCTGAGGAGGGACCGCAGAAGGGCTCGAGGGCATGTCTGGCCTGTCTCACTCAGTCCTGATCGGCCAGACCCCAGCAGAAAACTAAACTATCAGTCAGAGCTTCTGCCCCCTGGTGGTCAGTGTACATCATAGCGACTGCTTGACTAGTCGACTGTCTGCCCCCTGGTGGCCAGTGCACATCATAGCAAGCAGTTGAGAGGCCTTAGCATATCATTAGCATATTATGCTTTGATTGGTTGAATGGCCAACTAGACGACCGGACACTTAGCATATTAGGCTTTTATTATATAGGACTAGAGGCCCGGTGCACAAAAACTT